GTCGCCGTCAGGTGGCATCTGTTTTCTGCAGACCTGACACCGGGTGCTGGCTCTGTGGAGACACGCTCCGGTCACATTCAGGGCTGTGCTGAAGTTGTCAGGAAGCTCAGCTTTGCAGAGAAGGAAATGAACAGGGTGAGCCATCGAGCTGTCCTGAAAAGGTAGAGCTTCCTTCGCAAAAACAGGATCTTTTTCATGAACCTTGTTTTTAAAGTGAGAAGAGACTTCAGTGGCCAACCACAACATCAAAGGCAAATCTTTCACGCCAACAGAATTCATTGGACTTGTTTTGGGGGGCGAGGAGCTTTCATTTCAGGCCACTAACCCTCAGCATTCTTAGTAGAAGGCTGCATGGAGGAGCAGTAGGAAACACAGATTCAGGCTGGGCTATGACCTGGGGCAGAGTGACACAGGGGACACTTGTGAGGTGGTTGCTGCAGGGACCTGAAATTCAAGGAAACAGAGGCCCAAAGACGAAGTAGAGTTCAGGAGCCAAATGGTGGCATGAAGAAGGGATACCACCCTTCGGCCCTATTTGTTCCAGTACAAGCCAATGGCGATCCTAATCCCGTGTATGATTTGTTGTATCAGCAAACGAGCTAACCATTGGCCTGATGCGTCACTGCAGCCCCGAACATAGCAGAAATAAAATCAGTGCGCACCTCGCCTCTCGACAGTATAGTATACAGACTTAAAAGTTTCTGCCTTACCTAACAAGGACTGAGATTTCAAGAAAAATAACAAGTGCAGAAACTACTCACCTTTATCCACACACTGCATACAAGTTTTAGTGACCATACTCAATGCAAGTTTATTTTTGTCCATGTTTAGTTCTTGTCATTACCTTTTCTGATTTTATTTTGAAAAATGTCAAACATACAGAAAAGCCGGAATAGTGCAATAATCCATTATAAACTCTTTCCTCAATTCCTCAGTTAGAACATTTGCTGTATTTGCTGTCTCTATACAGGGAAATTGTGTTGGCTAAACCACCTGAATGTGAGTTGCGGACATCATTCCTCACCCTTAAATTCTTCAGCCCCTGAAGGTCCTTCATAACTTTTAGTTAAAACATGTAATTAAGGCGCAAATGTTGAAGCCCTAATCCCCAGTGGGCTGGAATTCAGAGGCGGGGCCTCTGGGAGATAATTATGTTTAGATGAGGTCATTGAGGTCGGCTGCCCCATGATGAGATTACTGCTCTTGTAAGAGAAGGAAACCAGAGTTCCCCCTCTTTCTCCTCCATGTGAGGACACAGCAATACGGTGTCTGAGAACCAGAAGGAGGGCCCTCATCAGGCACCCAATCTGCCAGCACCTTGATCTTGGACTTGCCAGTCTCCAGAATATGAGAAATGTTTGTTGTGTAAATCACCAAGTCTGTGATATCTTGTTATAGCAGCCGGAGCAGACTAAGACAAATGGTCTATAATCCATTAACACCATTCTTTTCTTCAATCTCAAGTTTTCCCAAATGTGGCACTTGAAGCCAACTTTTGTGTCTCATCATCAGGCTTTGGGCATTTTCTTTTCTGACTCAAGATGTTTCGAGCTCACCTTTTACTTTATCTGTGCCAAACCTGGAACCGACCAACATGTCTGGTTATGTGACCCAGTATTGAGGAAGCGAGGTCAAGGGAGCTAGGTGTGTTCGTCACTACTAGGTATTGCTCCTAGGACTTTCCAGAGAACAGAGCCAGATCTGGGCGTGGGGTAGGAAGGCGTGATATTGACAAGAAAGAGGAAAATACGTACACCTACCCACACACTCATACAAATATCCCCAGTTCAAAACCAATGAAACAGGGCCCGCCTTTAACGTTCAAATCACCCCACATTATGCTGCAGAAGTCACACATAACAGACCAACAGCAACCAGAGATAATGGACTGTATACAAGTCAGACCCAAACTAGACAACTTAGTAAGGGCTTACATGTGGTTTCTCCAGAGCACCAAAAAGGGCAAAGTTCAGAGCAGATGACTGATGGCTGCCATTTTAACTTATTGAAGACTATGTTATTCCTTTTCAAAATCTATCCTGTTTGATGTCGGGCATTTGTTTCAAGATAATCCAGTAGGGGGTGAGGGGTGGGAAGAGAGTGAGGAGGGAGCTTACCTTTAAAATATTGTCAAAGGAAATTATACATTATTTTTGGCAACGCAAGGCCCCAATGTCTTAAAGCATTAGACTATATTAAAACTTTACCAATTGTGGAAACAGAGAGTTTAATCCTGCCTATGATTTTGCCAGATAACTTTGTCATTCGAGGGAGATTGAATAAATAAAAGATTCTTATACTTGGGATGTTTCCTAGTCCCCTCGGGATCAGTGGTTTAAATTCCCCGCATAGTCCAATGTGACAGCCTCAGGGGTCAGTGGAGCCTGGCATCAGCCACAGCCAGATCGGCTGTGAGCCAAGGCCTGGTTTCATACAACCAATGGGGTTATAAACGTGAGCCAAAACCTTGCCAAATACAATAGTGCAAAACACAAACAGAGGAAACAGGGTCAAGATCTGCAACAATTTTGGTGTATTTCTGAGGGGAGAACCTTTGAAAGGCTTTCTGGGTTAAGAGAGAAGTTGAGCTCTGAGAAGAATCTTAATCACTTGTGAAAAGGCTAAGAATGAACTAAAAGTGGCCCTGGGGGCAATGAAACTTGTCTGGTTAAGCTGTTGCCCCTGCCCGGCTTCGTTAAACACAGCTAGGGGCTGGGAAAATGAAGAACTGTACGCACAATGGGAAGTGGGGCCAGGTACGTGCATGCATGACCCCTGACTTCTCTCTTCCCTGGGGGTGACAATGTGACCAGGATTCTTGCTTTGGCCACCAAGTTGGTCAGCTGTTGCCCAATGGGTATTGACTTTCACAGGTTCGCACACTGACCAAAAAGGCATTTTACCCCCCACAGCTACGAAGCACAGAGAAGCTTCCCAGGCAACTCCCATTGCCACTGATGTTCATATGTAGTAACTGCATTTTAATAAACTGGCCATAATCCAACATCAGAGATAATCTGCAAAGGAATCTGGTTGAGCTTGGTAATAGCTAGATTACAATTTTAAAAATCTTCCTTGCACATCTTTTTAAAAAAATTTTTTTATTGTTGTTCAATTTGTTATCTCCCTTTTCCCCCCATTGCTCTCCCCTGCCCTGCCCAGCCCATGTCCCACATTCAATCCCCCCACTCCCGTTGTCCCCGTGGGTCCTTCATACATGTTCCTTGACTTGACCCTTCCCCTTCTTCCTCTGTGATCCCCTCCCCTCTCCCCTCTGGTCACTGTCAGTTTGTTCTTTATTTCCATGTCTCTGGTTCTGTTTTGCTTGCACATCTTATTAAGGAAAAATACGTGACATAATGCATTCTAACCAAGGGTGCTCTGTTAACTCAGTGCTCAAGGTAAAGAACCTCCATTTTCTGAAGAACTTCTGCTCTTGTAGAAAAAGTCTCGGTGTATCAAGCCTCTAGGGATAGCATCCAGCTACCGCCCTCAGGTTACCACACCGGACCATCATTTCCGCCCGCACAGAGGAGACGTGAGTAGTTGGCTTCAGCGCAAACCCGACCTGGCAACACGACGGGCTGCCCTCTTCAAGCACCAGATTTCTACATAAGCTGTCCGCCATTTATTTAAAATGAAATTGGAAATCCCCATTTGTTTTGTGGGTCCCGGCTTGACATCGAACCGAAGGATGCCAAATTAGGATGCAGGTTAGGCAGCCTTCAAGATGCCTACATCAAAACTCACGAGTACCTTGTAAACTATGCAAAGAAAACAGGTTCGCTAGGTGACCTAAGGTTGAGGTGCTCGAGTTGTTAAACATTATTTTACATGGTGTCACAAACGTGTCTTCATTTATTTCAGCCAAGAGATCAAAAACAATAAAGCCAAACTGTATCCGAAAGCGTCCTAAATTATCCCTACCTGGGGAAGTCTGCAAGACTCCACAGCGACTGGGTGTGAGCATGGCTGTGTGCAGAAGCAGATCATGTCCCGGGGTGGGGGCGGGGGTGGAGGGGGCAGTGGGCCTGGGAGTGGACGTCTAGATGCAGAACAAGGAAGAATCCAACTCTAGGATCTTGAGCTGCATCAAGACATGGTCACCGCTTGGGCTGAAAAATTCAGAGGCCAGTTCCAGAGAGGAAGCTGTTCAAAAATGGTCTGAGCTACAGCCTAACAATAGGCTTGGAATTGTAGGAATAGCGGGTAGTTGGTCGTTGACTCTGATCTCTGAACTCTAAAGGGCGCCATTTGATTAGGATGCTGGACTAAAAAGGACTACTGGAGAGAAGCCAGTAGTAGTTGGTCAGAAACTTAAAGCATCCACATTTCACGTCCTTATGCTCACAGATGTGGCCAGCTGTGAGCAAACCAGGTTCATCTCTTTTTCTCAGCACCTTCATCAGCCAGCGCTCTCTGAGTCTTGATTTAAGGATTGGTTAAACAGAGACCGAGCCGTGGCAAGGGTTTTAGAATTAGTTTTCTTCTAATGCCACTTTTACCATAATGTTGATACAAATAAGCTAATCCACCAATGGAAAGCCACAATAAATGGTAAATATCTGTAAACAGCTATTATAGCTGCAAAATTTTTACATGACTTTATCCTTGAAATATATGTTACATGCTTCAAAGCAAGGCAATAGTTTAATGAACTGACTTATATACCTACAATATCTAAAAATACACTATAGAAACCAGAATCATTAAGATTGATAAGCAATCGATTCTATCCATGGCGTACCCTGGCCACTCCTAGCCATCAGTAGATGAACAAATGTATGTGACAAGTTCCAATATGTCATTTCCCTTGCTCATGTGGATAAAATTAGGCCCATTCTATTATACCTTTTCCCTGGCACCAACCTGCAATTTACAGACCATTAGGAGTTCCTACGTGTTGAAAAAAGGTGCAACTCTTTGAGTGTTACAGAAAGATATGAGCCAAAGACCAGTTTCTCTAATATCTATGAATCATATAGAGATACTTGGAGCTATCATTTTTGGTCACAGAACTTTATTTTGAAGCCAGTTTCAGGAACACAAGGGTCAAGCTTCAAAAACCAAACATGAAAGGAAAAGAGAACACCAATAGCTACATGTGCCTATGTGCCGCTAATTCTAGCTGCCAAAGAGGGATCCCACCGAACGCCAAACTTGGGGGTCTCTGGACCGCAGGCAGGGCAGAGGGCCTTGCTGGGCACTGCCGTCTGTCTCGGAGGAACCCACCTGTGGCCTCCCCACTTAAGGGGCCTCTCATCTTACCTTTCAAAACATCCCTTTTCCTACAGGAAAAGACTAGCAATAAATACTTAAGTATAGTGCATTATCTAACATCCTTTCCTATCATCCCAGAAAGTCCTAGTAAGTATAAAAGTGAACTACTTATTGGAGAAGTAATACCTGTCAGTGGTGACTTAGTCAGGAACTACTGAATGGTGAGTACCTTCAACTCCACCTGCATGAACACTCCCCCATCTCAGAAACTTGTGACACTGATTAAGCCCCAACTGGTTACGAGGTTAGTGACTAATTCAAACAGGGCTAGCGGGACAACTAACCCACAAGGCTTATGATGTGAGCACTCAGGCACCCTAAAGTCTTTATCTGGGCCAACGTAAGTTCCTTAGTTACCTATACAAACTTTACCCCACAGCCTAGTCTGGAAAAGTTGGAAAGAGAGAGAATGAGAGAGAGAGAGAGATCAGCACCTATAACACACTGCATGCCACTCCTTTTTGTAGCTATCCCAATCTAGCTAGAGAATTCTATCCAGCTAGAGGAAATCCAGCTAGGGAAAGACTTTATTTTTCAGCTCTTTTTCACTTTTCCTTGATCATCTACTTTCTTAATGGCTGCTTGGATAGCCTCTTGGTCGCCCAGGAACTGGTGAGGCCCGACGGCACGCAGGTTCTCGTCCAGCTCCAGGAGAATGGGGACGCCGGTGGGGAGAGTGATGTTGATGATGTCTTCATCTGAGATGCCTGCAGAGTAAGAGAGGAGGGAACAAGGCATTAAGGACGACCAGGGAGGAAGTTCTGTTTAGTGGCTTAACGGCCACGTGTACTTGGTCCCCGATTCACTGCCGGTCTGGAACCTTGCGGATTCTGTGAGGGATTCTAGCTGGAGTTCCTGGAAGCCAAGAACTTCCCAGAAGTTAAAAAATTAAAATAAAACCCCCGGGCAGAAATTAACATCACGTCATATCCTAGGACAGTAAATACCTTCTGGGAGAACCTGATCCTGGCTGTTTCCCATCTAAATTCTAAAAGAATGGAAATTATTCTCTCCGTGCCCGCATGCGTGTTACTGATTTTGCACATGAATCAATCTTGAAAAATCTTAAAGTGAACTAAGTGGGTTTTCTGATTTTTTTTTCCTTGTATAAAATGTCCCCAGGCTGGCTAAAATTAACCTCTAAATCTAGTTCAGTAGATTAGAATGTGGTTGCTTTTCCAATGCTGAGTGCGCTTGGGATGACCTGGGCAGGGGGACGCTTCCCTGGCTACTTAGGACTCCCAGTGAGGGGGAGTCAGGAAAGGACCGTGAGGGGAGCCTTGCAATCAATTGGGCCTCGCTCTCCTCCTGTCCCGTATCGTCCCAACTCACAGGAGAGGAAGGCATGTGTCATGGACAAATTACCTTCAATTCTTTTAAAAATAAACTCAATTCCAGGTAGTTCAACTGTGACCAGAAGAGTTGGAGGAAGACTGTAATAACAGCAGTGACAGTATTTTTATTACCATGACTACATTTAACAATGAACAGCTAAGACGTACTGGGTACATTCTACATGCCAGGCCCCCTTTTAAGCACTTCGTACGTACTAACTCATTTAATCATTGTTACAGTCCTATGAGGTTACAAGCTACTGTTTTCCCGTGTAACATGTCCTGGCACGGGGAGGGGAGGCGAACAGCTGAAGGTCACACCGACAGTCAGCAGCAGGGCCTGATTCAAGCCCAGGTGTGACGCCTGCACAAAGTAACCCCTGCAAGTGCTTCTGAGTCCAACATGGGCAAAGAGAAGGGAGGAGACAAGAGACAGAGCTAAGCAAATTAAAAGGTAACTGAAACTATTCAAATTACCTATTTTAAAAACACACTTTCGTTATATAGCCTTCTACATCCCAACCAAATGCTCCTGTTCTGTATTAACAGAAAGGATCGAGGTGGAGCCAGTTTTGAGGAGGAGTCTGACGGTCTGTCCTTAGTTGGGAGGTGATGATGGCAGAAGAAGTGAGCAGCAGCTAGTTCTCACTGTGCTGTGCCATTTTAATTAACCAGTGGTCACACTACAGCACCAGTCAGAAGTCACGGAATCAAAGCACCGGATCCCAAGTGCTGGGGTAGCTCTTTATTAGAATGTCATTGCTCCACCCAGGAGAGCTACCTGCAAACTCTCCTGCACGAACTGCACACACTCAGACCGCTACGAGACAAGGGGTGCACACCGCGCATCTCCCCTTCTGGCGGTCCCCTCCATGTGCTACCTCCGCAACTTTAGGCAAGTGACTTCTCTGGGCCTCCATTCCCTCTGACGAATTAAAAAAGAAACACATGCACTCTTCCCTTTACCGGTACGAAGAGTGTGAGGTAGGAGGAATGGACTTAAAAGAGCATGAAAAAGTACAGAATAGTGAATGTGTCTTCTTCCCCTACTATGACTTCTCTTCTCAGCAGACACTTTAAAGGGGTGGCTGCTAACACCCCACTTCACACTGCCGAGCCCCCATCCCCACACTGCAGCCCCACACAAGAGTATCATCCCAAACTGGAGCTGCCAAGAACAGAGCAGCTCGGACCAGACAGCCAGCTGTGTAGCGGGGAGGATTCTAAGGACCCTCTGGCTCCAAAAGGTCAGCTCTGTCAGCTGGATGCATCGCAGCTGCTACACGCAGCCCTCGGAGGCCGCAGGGGCAGAATTCACCAGCATGAGGTTTACCGCCAGGTGACCACCGAGGCTTTCGAACCCCGTAGTTTTTGCCCTTTCTCCCCATTCACCCCAAATCCACTCGGCAACCAGGAACCGAGGGCCTGTGACCTGCATAGCCCTCTGGGGAAGGACATCTGTGACCTTGGCCAGGATTCTACCTCCACTAAACTACTTCTTCATTCATGAAAGGGAGGAGGATGGTCTCCTCTAGCACCGAAGCCCCTCTGTTTTATTGGAATGGTCACGAAAAGCAAAGGCCCTTCGGAGGCAAGAGAAGCACGGGGACGCTGACGGGGCTTACGCGCGTCTGTCACAGGAGGACCGGGTGTATCTGTCCCCAGCGTCCGTAAGCATATTGCCCACTGGATGGAGAGAAAGACGGATTTTACAGATTTCTTCAGTTCATCTAATTTTTTCTGCAAAAAACAATTGCAGAGAAATTGCACTTGGTTGTCTGCTTTGGTAGGAGACAGACATTTAGTAAAAATGACCACATTTGACTAATGTTTTCCAAGAGAAATAGAAATTATGAGCATTCACATCTGTCAGCATCTCAGATTCATGCTTACAGATTGTGGGCCTTTACAACATCGTTGACTATTAACCTGTGCAAATGGTTTTGGACACGGGACTTTATTTTGAAGTGATTAAGCTTCCACTCTTATTCAGCGTTGTGCTGGAGGCTCTAGCCAGGGCAACTGGTCAAGAGAAAGAAATACAAGCCCTCCAGATTGAACTAAACGATCTCTCTTTTCAGATAACACTTGAACCAATAAATGAGTTCAGCAAGATTCTAGGAGATAAGATTAATGTATAAAAGTAATTATACTTCTATACAGAAGTGCAAGGCAAAAATGATGAGCAAATCAAAAATAAAATTAAGAAAACAATTCTATTTATATTAGCAACAAAAAGAATAATATATTTAGGAATATATTTAACCAAAGAAGTAAAAAACTTATCCTCTGAACATTGCAAGTGTTTCCGCAAGTCAACACACAGATTCAACACAATCCCTATCAAAATCTCAGCTGATTTTTTTTTGCAGAAATTGACAAACTGATCATAAAATTCACATGGAGATTCAAGGTGCCCAGAATAGCCTTCCATTTCACTGTCCAGTGCACATCGAAGAGAAATGAAAACACAGGTCACACAAAAGCCTGTATACAAACCTTCATAGCAGCGTTATTCACAGAGCCAAAGAGTGGAAACAGCTTAAATGCCCATCAACTGATGAATGAAGAAGTTAAATGTGTATATCCATGCAGTGGAACATTATTTGGCAATAAAAAGGAATGAAGTGCTAATACATGCTAAATACTGATGAACCTTGAAAATATTAAGTTAAGTGGAAGAAGCCAGTCACAAAAGACTATATATTATACCAGTCCATTTATGTGGAATGTCCAGAATAGGCAAACTTATAATAGATTAGTGAGTGCCCAGGGCCAGCAGGAATGAGGGGACTGGACAGTGCCAGCTAGGTACAGAGTTTCTTTTGAGGGTAATGAAAATGTTCCAAAATTGACTGTGGTGATAGACGGACAGCTCTGAAAATACTGAAAGCCAATGAGCAATATTCTTTACATGAGTGAGTTACATGCTATATGAATTATATCTCAGTAAGGCTGTTAAAAGTACTAAGCAAATCCAGAGAAGTTAAATAACACTGTTCGTCACAAAACTGTTAAGGTAGTATCATTGGACCTGTTTGTTTTTGTGCTTTTTTTTAAAATTCCCAAATCCCACGAGCCCGCCTCTGGCCATCTGACTCGTCTATGGCTGCTTCCACCAGAGCACAAGGAGAGAGAACACCTGTGTGAATGCACCACCCTCGGGAAAGGCTGGGTGCTGACTGCATGTACAGAGCAAGAGCAGAGAGAGCTTTTTGCATATCGTGGACAATCCAGCATGGAGTCAGTGTCAGCCATGATAGATACGTCAAGTGCAATGTCAAGACCGAGGCAGTGGAGTGTAATGGGAATGCCCGTAGGAGGGCCCAGAAGGCCCAAACTACAAGTCTGCACACTTTGATCAGGGTTCTATCTGGACACCAATAAGAGTAGGGCCTCCACTGCTGGTGGGCTGTAGGAACTCAGAGCTCTGACCACCCCACACGCTAGTGTGGCTGCACCACGGGTCACCCACAGAGCCCTGGCACACTTCCACTCCACCGGACACGTGCCGCCACTGCAGCCACCTGGCCTGAGACCAACACCTCTCCACCTGTGGACGGCGACACTGACCTGGGACTTCACAGGGGCTGTCTGTGCTGCTGGCTTCTATCATGTAAGCTCCCCCTCTGTGCATGTGAGATGTATGTGACTCTTCTTGCTTATCAGGGAGGTCTCTCCTAATAAGCATGGCACGGTGGAAAGACACAACTGTGTGTGAGTGACTCCTCTGGGGGATGCTCCCTTGCTCACAACACAGCGCTGGACAGCAGCACCCCGTGTTCTCAAGATTAGTAAAGGACATGGACACGTTTGATCCCCTTGAAAGAGCTAACGCACTGCTGGTGAGGTTCAGGGGCTGCAGTCCGCGACCTCCGAAAGGAGTTTGGAGCTAACCGGACCTAGCAGGTCCTCTCTTTAATAGCACCTCTCGCAAGCTCAGGCCTGTGGCTTAGATGTGTGGGACTGAACCAAAGAGCCAACTCTACAAAGGCCGTGAGAGCTGTAATTTTCAACCTACAAAGGAAGGAGAGCTCAACCAAAATAGAACATTTCCAATTAAAAAAAAAAAAAGGAACATTCCACTTTAATGACTACTCAAGCCATTCACACAGCAGACTAATTACTTGTAAATATTTAAAATGCTTAGACTGGTTAATAATCAGTCAGTGAGACTTACATTTTAAATAGCAAATTAGGAAAAACCACAGCGAAGCCATTACTCATTGCTCAGTTTTGGCATAAGGCACATTCTTTGTCCTAAGGAAGTTAAGCAAGCAGAACTCCTAGGGCTAGAATAATGCATCTGCACCGGACGGAACCAAACTGAATTGATAATACTATATTATGTAATATTGTGTTACACACTCATT